TTTAACTTCACTTACTCCTTGTGGAAGAAAGACTTCTGACATCAACCAGAATTCCCCTCTCAGTTCGAATTAACCTGTCTTCACTAGACCTGCTAATTTGAACCCTGGAAGATCGACAGTGGCAGCTTCAATCTTCTGAGTAGTGTAGACATACCCGAAGAGTTAGTTGGATTGCAATTAAGGCATCCATCCACTTACATAAGAAATATAAATAACTTCTTGTTATTCAGCGTGCAATATCTGGTGAACACTAAAGGTCAACTGAATAATAAAAGGAGTGTTTGTGTCCTTTAGTGTAGAAGGGTGCTCTCCATTTCCTTTGCCCCCTCAAAAATCTACCCTTTTTTTGCATTTCAAATATCAAATTCTTTCTTACTTCTCTTGCTGGAGATCCTTGGCAAGCTTACTGTAGCAGCAGGGAAGTAGACTGGATAGTGGAATCCATGTGGACAAAACATCTCAAAGAACTACAGTTTCTATAAGAGAAATAACTGTTCTTTCATCTTCGAGTGAGTGTCCACGTGGATGACACTTCTGGTGACTAGCAAGCAGTGATTTCACAATCAGACTCATGATTATAGGATATCAGTGCCAAAATTGGCATTCTGAGACCTAAACTAAGGAATAGTGGTGGGACAAAACAAGGACTGGTCCCTACATAGCTACCCTGCACATTTCTGAAACTAACACACTTTTCATACCATCAACATAAAAGTGCCTGAGCCCTGCCAAAAGGGGCTCTCACCTGCCTGAGTGGATCTGCTCTAGCTAGCTCATAGCATAATCTAATACAATTAGATATCCCTTGGTTAGAGCAATACTTGGAAAAGAAAACGGATAAGTGATTCACGTCATTCAGATGTACATCTGAAATCTTTGGCAAACTGTGGGTGAGACCTAAGGATCAATGTGTCTTTATGTAACAGCATGAAAGATGTACCAGCCATGAGTGCTGAATCTTTCCTACCCATCACATTGATGGAATAGAAAGTAAAAAATCTTATGTTAAAAGACAGGTGATATAATGAGAGAGATTCTAGGAGCTCAAAAGGAGGTCCCAGTAACCCGGCTAAGACTATATAAAGGTCATAGAGAAGAGGGAGCTCCCAAACTGAAGGAAATACATGAGCAAGGGTGTGACCAGTTTACCAACTGTAGGGTGGGAAAATATGGTGTGATCCTGGCCAGGAGATGTAGCTGCTAAACATATTCTTATAAAGCTGATGTATGGTCCTGAATGCTTATGGACAGCAGATAGTCCAGAAAATGGGACTCTGGTGCCTAAATAAAGCATCTTGCATTCTTCTGCACAAGTCAGTCTAGTAGAATCTTTCTGCTATGCACCAGTGTATTCTAGACATTAGCTATTCAGCTCCTGTTGATGGTAGTTAACCAGTCAGCCTCCATGCTGTTGGACAGAATAATGCTGGGTCTAGAATAAGATCTGTCCTTCATTCTGAGAGGGAAAGTTATGTAATACTATTGGGAACTGAGCTGAGAGGAGTTTGAGGAGGTCTATGACTCTTTTCACTTGGTCCCAAGGGGAGCAACTTACACCAGTACTCAACCTGAGAACAATGTTCCTTCCTTTCCCTTTCAGATGACTGAGTGGAAGAAGACTTAGCTGCTCTTTGTTTCAGTAGATGAGTTTCTCTGAAGAGAGAACTTGGGAATTTGGCGATGAACCACAGTTTCAAGTACACTGATGGAGGAAACCTGCTAAGGCCTACTAGGCCCTCTTTCTCTAACTCTGAAGATCTTATTGAGCACTACTGGAGAACATAGTTAAGACTGAGTAGCTGCATCATAGGAGAGGCAAGTTTTGAACTCCAAGGACTTCACTTCTGATGTCTAAATCTTGATACCAGGAAGTCCCCTCACACTAATGCAAGGTTTTTCTTACATATACAAAAAAAATAAAAATAAATAGAGTGAGAGAGAGCACACAGAAAGGGTACATCTACAACAGATGCTTATTTCAAAATAAGCTATTCCAGAATAGTTATTATGAAATAGCTTATTTCAAAATAGCACATCTACGCTGCAGGGGAGCCTCATAATAAGTCTGAGGCAGGCTTCCCTAATGTAGATGTGCTATCTGGATTTGCGGCCCCAGAAGGCACTGGGGAGGAATAACTTAGGCTGGCCATGGCGTGGGGCTATTTTGAAATAGCAGCCGCGGAGTGTCTACACACGCCTTATTTTGAAATGGCTATTTCGGAACAGGCGTTATTCCTTGTAGAATGAGGTTTACATATTTCAGAATAAGCCGTCCATTATTTCTAAATCATTATGAAATAACAGAATGGCTGTGTAGACACTCGCATTGTTATTCTGAATTAACGCTAGTTATCTCGAAATAATGGTGCCGTGTAGACACACCCTAAGAAACATAAAAAAGACATACCACTACATTATACAAGATCACTATCTAACTCTTTGGGGCTGCGTCTAGACTGGCATGATTTTGTACAAAATCTCGCCGCCTATCTACACTGGCTGCGAGTATTTGCACGAGAACACTGACTTTGTAATGTACAAAATCAGTGGTTCTTGCGCAAATACTCTGATGCTCTCGCTCAGGGATAAGCCCTCTTGCGCAAGTATTCTTGCGCAAGAGGGCCAGTGTAGACAGCAATGTTAATTTCTTGCGCAAGAAAGCCCAATGGCTAAAATGGCCATCGGCGCTTTCTTGCACAAGAGAGCGTCTACACTGGCACGGATGCTTTTGTGCAAAAGCAAATCTTTTGCGCAAAGGCACATGCCAGTATAGATGCTCTCTTGCGCAAATTCTTTTAACAGAAAAACTTTTCCGTTAAAAGTATTTACGCAAAATCATGCCAGTCTAGTCGCAGCCCATATGCACAGAAAATAGCAGTAAAGTCACAAACTGTACAGAGAAGAGGCTACTGCAGGTGATCCATCTCTCAGCTATGGGTGATAAGAACAAACTGAGGTATGGGTGGGCGCAAGATTTCTAGGCTGCAGGCACAGCTTTTTTGGATACTTGCTGGCTAAAATAATCCTATCTTACATGTACATTTACTGAAAGTGCAATCAACATGGATAATCACTAGAGAAACCTAATTTCTAAAGCTTTAGTGCCTGATCACGCTATCACTCCACGCATAGAATTCCCAGTGAGCTGTTAGTTCGAACGTGTTTCCAAGGAACAGGCCTGCCATTAAGATGTGCAGAACGCTATTTTGGGATAATAGTGAAATAGTGAAATATCCTGAAATAGTGTCCCTGTGTAGAATTAAAATTATCCTGCCTCTTTCCCCCCCCTTCCCCCCTCCCCGGGAACCTCCATATAAACCAATCTTTAGTTTCTATTCATTGTGTATGATTTAATACCATCTCCCCACTTTCATGAGATGTATTGGAATGGAAGTTACAGAAGCAGGAGTATATATGGAAGAAGTTGCTTGTGTTAATGAAGTTAATCAAGTCAGGATGGAAGTGGGAAATGGCCTTTGTAATGCATTAACCAGTTAACACTATCAATTTATGATTGAATAAGGATCTCAATTGGTTAACACATTACAAAAGCAATTTCCCCTCTCTGTATATTCACATCTCCACACCAAATGCTGTGTGCTTCCACATTGACTTGATTAGCTTCCTCAAAACAAGCAACTTCTTTCTTATCTATGCCCCTGCTTCTGAAACTTCCACGCCAATTGATCTGATGAAGTGGGTTTTACCCACGAAAGTTATGCCCTAATAAATCTGTTAGTGTAGACATAGCCTTAGAGACTACCAGGTTATTTTGAAATAACTCCCAAAATAACTATTTTGAAATAAGCTTATTCTTCTTCACAAGCAGGAGAAGAAGATTTTTGAAATATTATTTTGAAATAACAGGCTTGATAACGTGGATGCTCACCTTGTTATTTCAAAATAAGGGAAGTTATTTTGAAATAACTCCCCAGAGTAGACATGCCCTAAGTGCCACAGGACTCCTTGTTGTTCATACGTCTTGTATACATTACTCTAACAATTGTCAAAACTTAAATTAAAAAGCATACATATTAAAAAATCCCATCTTAGAAACTCTTATTTCCAATAATCACTACCAACTGCTTGGACGAAGGGACTCAAGGCCTGCATAGAGCTCAGTACAGTATTAGGGTCTTAATTCTTCTGGTTAGAAGCAATGGAAAGAATAACTATAATAGCCAAATATATCTAAAGTATAAGCAATTTGGACATACCAACACTGGGGCGTACTGTTAGGACAAAGCCTTGCTTTCCTGTGCTGGACCTCAAGATGAATTGCCTGAGTGAAGATAACAGCCCAGCTGCAATAAGACCTTGAGCATTGTTGAAAATGTCTCACTGAGTTTGTTAAAACTGTAACCCCCTCTTGGACTCTCACAGGTTAACAAGAAGCTATTTTGTTAAACCTTGCTGTCTCTGCTCCGTCTTCTCTTATCTACAGAACCAGTTCACCCCAGTCTCTCCCCCCGCTTACCCTGGTCCTGCATCCTTGTGCAAAGATCTGTTCCTTCTTGAACAAAGAACTAATGAACTAGTTGTAGCTGGTTTAATGATATGCATGATGTATGTAACTGATATACAGATAGTCCCTGACTTACAAATGAGTTACCTACCAAACACTTGGTAGTAACTCAATCTGTTCGTAAGTCTGACCCCAATCATTTAAATAGGATCGCGCTGTTCGTAAGCGCAGATCATCGTTTGTAAGTCGGGGACCAGCTGAATGGGAGATTGGTCATAAGTGCGGATGGTCGTACGCCGATGCGTTCGTAAGTCGGGGACCATCTGTATAAGACTTGTACTCCTGATAATTCTTTGGAAGCTGCTGTTGAGTCCTCCCTAATGCACTGCTAATAAAATGGCTTAGTATTATCTGTGTGGCTGAATTCTTGGGAAAATAATTCCTTTGCTTAACAGTACAAATCCACAGGGTGAATGCGCAACTAGATATCTACATAGTCACTACTGATATGTGTATTTAGTACAGATGCATACATGTGTATGTTTTTCCTCTTTCCACTACATTTCTTCTTTCCTTAAAAAAAATAATCTGGCCATTCACATGTATACTAACTAAATTCACAGACTTATTAGGAACAAATGACCAAAGTGCTTACTCATGCAAATTTGTATGTTGCTCTGTAAAATATATTACTTAAAACCACAAAGTTCGTATTGCTTCACACAAGAAATATAAACTGCTTCTCTATAATTGTCCTTACATCATCTACTCACTCTGTTTCATTTAAAACTTCTTCTTTATCCAAAAACATTTGGAACTTCTCCTCAAATATCATCCTCAGAATACGGTTGTGCACGCGAAAGATGCGATTTATTTTCACTCCTGTGATACCATATGTTTTGAAATCCCAGGCACAAAATCGTGATAGAATTAGATCATAGCAGGAGTTAAACCTGTACCCAGGAATGAGCAATGAATTACTACCTTCTTTTTGCAACCAGAACCTGATTTTTTTTTCTGTTTTCAAATGAAGGGAAAAAGAGAGAAAAATGATATTTTAAGGTAATTTCTCTTTTGTACTTTCAGAAATTCTCTCTCTCAACTAGAGATGGGTGATGTTGTATCACCTAATTTTGAACATTACAGATTATATTAGGGAGCAAACACTAATATTAATGGTCTGCCATGTTTCTTTCCTACATCTACAGTGGGATATTTAAAATGCCACGATGCATCTCAGACTCCATAAAATCTTCCATAAATGCTTATGACCACTGCTTTAGACATCTTGTCTGGAAAACTGCTACATCCTGCTTGACTCACACAAGTGAGTAATTCTACTGAAGTGAATGTGGACCTATCTAATTAAATGTTAGAAGAGGAATGACAATGGCACAAAAAGGGCAGTGGGTTAGGGCCTAGGATTCCTGGGATCATTTCTCTACTCTCCGTGTGACCTTGGGCAATTACTGGTGGAAAATTGAAACAGTGAAATGGAGGAATGACACTTCCATGCCCCACAGGGGTGATATGAAGATAAATACATTAAAGATTGTGAGGTGCTCAGGTATTACAATAATGAGGGCCATATCAACAGCTTATGTAGACAGCTAAAATATAGGTCTTATAATAATTATGGAAATGTAATGGTTACCCCAAAAATGAGAAATCCAAATGGGGAAAAAAAACATTTTTTAAATAACCAGAGGACAATTTTCTTTAAAAAAAACCAAACAAACAAAAACTACTTACAATGAATGAAAACACTACACTTTCTATTAAATGACTCTGTGCTAAAAACTGATTCAAATATTGACCTCATTTAGAATTTTTCCTTGCCAATAAGAAAAAAAATCCTTGGATTGAAAAAGCAGTTTTAGTATTATTGTTATTTTATTTAATTCATTAAATTTAAATAACACTCTTTATAGTATAGCTAGAACCTCTGAGCACATCATAACCTGCAGCACTCTATCAGACATAGCTGAACATGAAAGAGCACAGGGGAGGCAGATAAGCTTCGAGTACTCAAGCAGAAAACTGTCCTTGAAATAATGCCAACCTAAGTCTGAGTCTCCCCTCAACAAAGTGTCAAGGTTATTTATACTGAGACTATGTAAACAACTTTTAATGCTTATTTATAATAAGCAGTAAAGCTATCCAGGAATTATCTGTCATTGGTGCCACAATAGTTAAAACAGCTATTAGTCATTTCAGATTGCTCTGTTCTCTTTTATTGACGATATTATTTTTAGGGCTCTCAAGTGATTAAAAATTAACTGCGATTAATAGTGTCATTAAAATCACAATTAATTGTGCGATTAATTGCACAATTAAAACAATAATAGAATACCATTTATTTAAATGTTTTGGATGTTTTCTACATTTTCAAATATATTGATTTCAATTACAATACAGAATACAAAATACATAGTGCTCACTTTATATTTACTTTTGATGACAAATATTTGCACTGTAAAAAATATATATTTAAATTCCTCCATTACAAGCACTGTAGTGTAATATCTTTATCATGAAAGCTGAACTTATTAAATACAAAAAACTGCATTAAAAAATAAAGCAATGCAAAACTTTAGAATCTTCATGGCCACTCAGTCCTACTTGTTCAGACAATCATTCAGACAAACAAGTTTGGGTACATTTGCAGGAGATAATGCTGCCTGCTTCTTGTTTTCATATCAACTGAAAGAGAAAATACACATTCACATGGCCCTGTCTTAGCCAGTGTCACAAGATATTTACATGCTAGATGCAGTAAAGATTCGTATACCCCTTCATGTTTTAACCACCATTCCAGAAGACGTGTCCATGCCTGATGAGTTGTTAGGCTCAATAACAATTCAAAACATTTTTATCATTAGAGACAGATGCTACCAGCAGAAGATTGATTTTCTTCCTTGGTGGTTCAAATTCTGTAGTTTCTGCATCAAAGTCTTACTCTTTTAAGACCTCTGAAAGTATGCTCCACACCTCATCCCTTGCAGGCATAAAGGATCTGCCAACGAAGGGTTCTGGAGTCGGCAGATCCCCATCTAGGCTGCCGCGCTGTGCCGACAATCAGATGATCGGCACAGCGTGGCGGCCATTTTGATTTAAATGAAGCGGCGATTATTTAAATCGCCGCTTCATTTCCCTTTGCCGGCCTGCCTAATCTACATGGCTCCGTCAACGGAGCCATGTAGTCTAGACACACCCTTAGAGACTAACAAAAGTTCATGCTACTATATATACACACAGGCCCATACACAGGAATTATTGTGGGGGAGCGTGCTTTTTTTGTAAATGTGGACTGCAATTCTTTTAAATATAATGGAGTAAAAAATAGTGGTGCAATGAATGTGAATAAGAGAGGTTAATGAAAAATTTGAGTAGAAACAGTGATTGGTAAAATGATTTTGTTATACTAAAAGTTTATACAGTAATAAAGGTATTATAGAAATTAAATTCTGGGATCACAGCAGCCTCTGCTTGCTGCTGCTCTATCTGCTTGGTGAGGCCAGCACTGGGTGAGTGCTGCCGGGGCTTCTGGCCAGCGGGGCCGGGCTCAGGCTGCATATCCCGGGTGGGGGAGCATGTTTCCCCCAGTCATGCTGCGAGGCTACCAGCTCCGCCTGCCCATCTCCCCGCAACACAGCGTTCTCACATCCCCCTAACACAGTGGTTCTCAAACTTTTTGGCCCGTGTCCCACCTGGCTGAATGCAAATCTTTCTGTGCACCACCAGTTGCTAATGGAAACTCGCTGTTAATTACATAATTACTACTGAGCCATTTTGCTAGTGCTGCAGTCAGAGAGAACGGTTTAATATAATGAGTAAGAAAGGAAAAATTAATTTAAATTATTAAACAGACTAAGCATTTTAACTTTCTCATGTTAGTTTATCGAACTTCATTACAATATAAGTTATTGTACAACACAAAAAGTTCCCATTTTTTCTTTATTTATGGCAAAGGTGGAATGAGGAGTAACAGTTAATTCGAACTAAGGACTTAGTTCGAATTAACGTTTCACTGCCACGTGCAGCCGCGCGGCAGTGAGTTCGGGGTAGTGAAATTTCAAAATGGCGACCGGACGGGAACATGCAAATAAAGCCCGAGATATTTAAATCCCAGGCTTCATTTGCAACTCCGGTTGCCTCACTTGCCTACCGAGCTCAAATTAACGAGCTAGTGTAGACATACCCTGTGGGTATGTCTACACTAGCCCCCTAGTTCGACCTAGGGAGGCTAATGTAGGCATTTGAACTTGCAAATGAAGCCTGGAATTTAAATATCCCAGTCTTCATTTGCATGTTCCCGGGCGGGCGCCATTTTTAAATCCCCTTAGTTCGAACTGACTGCCCGCGGCTACACGTGGCAGTCAGAAATTAATCCAAACTAAATCCTTAGTTCGAATTAACTGCTACTCTCCTGCAACGAGGTGTAACAGTTAATCCAAACCAAGGACTTAGTTCAGATTAATTTCTGACTGCCGCGTGTAGCTGCGGGCAGTCAGTTCG